CCAGCAGGTGGTCCTCACTGATGTTGGGACTGGGCCAGAGTGGCTGCATGGTGTCTCCTCCTCCTCGGAGCCTCCCCGCGTCTCCTGGCCTGACTCGGGGTGTAGTCATGATGCTGTCTAACCTCACATCCCTCCAGATCCTGACAACTCCGTCTGCGGACCCTTTTCAAAGAACAGCTTTGTCTTCCTGCATCATCTGGACCCCGGGACTTTCTCACCAGAGGGATCTGACAAGGACCTGTTGAAACTTATTTGATGAATAGCAATGGCTTTGCATCTGTATCACTACTGGGCCCCATACCTGAGTGCATCTGAAGGGTTCTCTTTGCAACGTGAGCCCTGTGCCTGGCTGTTCTGCTTTCTTTCAGAGACTGGGACCTGCTTAAGGGTGGAGGCCTTTCTGCAGGTTCCCCGACCAGTGCCATATACAAAATGGCACATCTGTAAAGAGTTGCTAATGATGACACCTTTTCCTCATCTCATTGAGTTGTATACGACGCCAAATGGCTTGAGGATGGTTTTGTACACCCTTATGTTCAAGAGCTACATCAACGTTAGTTGTTTATTTAAATTGAAAACTTAATGTTGGCAGTGGTAGGTGGTAATGAAGGGGAATGGGACAGGTAAGCCGCTAGTGTTTAAGTTTCTGAAATTACGGAGGGCACAGGTAGGAAGCTCCGTGGGGCAAAGTGCAGTAGGGGGTTGGACTGTGTGGTGTTGATGACGCAGACTCTTCACTGTGTACAATGCTTGCCTTTCAAACCCTCCATCTGTCACAGACATGTGCAATGTTCCTAGTGAAAAGCTTTCCTTCTCCCAGTGAACAACCTTTCTTCTCCCAGTGAACAACCTTCCTTCTCCCAGGGAACAGCCTTCCTTCTCCCAGGGAACAGCCTTCCTTCTCCCAGTGAACAGCCTTCCTTCTCCCAGGGAACAGCCTTCCTTCTCCCAGAGAAGAGGCTTCCTTCTCCCAGTGAACAGCCTTCCTTCTCCCAGGGAACAGCCTTCCTTCTCCCAGGGAACAGCCTTCCTTCTCCCAGTGAACAGCCTTCCTTCTCCCAGTGAACAGCCTTCCTTCTCCCAGGGAACAGCCTTCCTTCTCCCAGGGAACAGCCTTCCTTCTCCCAGGGAACAGCCTTCCTTCTCCCAGGGAACAGCCTTCCTTCTCCCAGGGAACAGCCTTCCTTCTCCCAGGGAACAGCCTTCCTTCTCCCAGTGAACAGCCTTCCTTCTCCCAGTGAACAGCCTTCCTTCTCCCAGGGAACAGCCTTCCTTCTCCCAGGGAACAGCCTTCCTTCTCCCAGTGAACAGCCTTCCTTCTCCCAGTGAACAGCCTTCCTTCTCCCAGGGAACAGCCTTCCTTCTCCCAGGGAACAGCCTTCCTTCTCCCAGGGAACAGCCTTCCTTCTCCCAGGGAACAGCCTTCCTTCTCCCAGGGAACAGCCTTCCTTCTCCCAGGGAACAGCCTTCCTTCTCCCAGGGAACAGGCTTCCTTCTCCCAGTGAACAGGCTTCCTTCTCCCAGGGAACAGCCTTCCTTCTCCCAGTGAACAGCCTTCCTTCTCCCAGGGAACAGCCTTCCTTCTTCCAGGGAACAGCCTTCCTTCTCCCAGTGAACAGCCTTCCTTCTCCCAGGGAACAGCCTTCCTTCTCCCAGGGAACAGGCTTCCTTCTCCCAGGGAACAGGCTTCCTTCTCCCAGGGAACAGCCTTCCTTCTCCCAGGGAACAGGCTTCCTTCTCCCAGGGAACAGCCTTCCTTCTCCCAGTGAACAACTTTCCTTCTCCCAGGGAACAGCCTTCCTTCTCCCAGGGAACAGGCTTCCTTCTCCCAGTAAACAACCTTCCTTCTCCCAGAGAAGAGGCTTCCTTCTCCCAGTGAACAACCTTCCTTCTCCCAGGATTTTGCTTTCTGGACCCTTTGCAAGAACATTCTACAGGGATTTCCCTGAATTTGAAATCTGCACACACCCCTTTAGGGACAGTGCTGGCTGACTTCATTCCAGGAGGGCTGAGCTCCTCCATTTTCCAGCAGACATGGTGCATCCTGTTGTCACTTTCCAAGAGCCTGCCGTGGGTTTCCCTGTTTCTGCTGGTGGGGAAACAAATAAAATACAATTTGCGCTTGCCTTTCACCCCTCAGGTCCTCATGAGAGTATCAGTCAACTGAGTGACACTGTCGCCCACCGGCTGGGAGAAAGGGGGTCTTGAGAGATTACTGTGATACTGCATGCCTGTGCGTTTGTGGGATCATTTCCTATTTGTATCAGATGGAATGCTTGACTGAAAAAAAAGAACAACTGTGGACTGTGTTCCTCCAAGTGTGGTTTCACATCCCTCTAGTTAATGCCATCCATGAAAACAATTAACTTCTCTATATTTCAGGATCCAGGCAGGACCTGGTAGGAATCTTATTTAATTATGTGCTATATTAATGTTATATCGATTATGTTATTGCCTGTAAATCCAGATACTTAATAAAGCTGCAGTCATTTTGCAATAAAGTTGTATTTGCAGTCAATTAATGGGTGTCTAGGGGGTAGAGCTATGTGAGGGGTGTCGGTGCTAAGAGAACACGTCCTTGGGCTGAGCACCCGAGCAAGCCACGGAGAAAGCCAGGGCTGTATGTGTATGTGTGGGCATGTTTGTGTGGGTAGGTGTAGGGTTGCATTAAGTCAAAAGGCAAAGCATGTGTCCGTGGCGCTTATTTTTAGCTCATGGAGCTGGGTATTTATGAACGGCCGACTGTATGGCCCAGCTCAAAAGTGGCACTGAGGCCGTGTCTGTCCAGGGGGCAGGATAGTGTTTGATTTTAAAGATACCAGTGAACGGTAGCTGCCGGTATGGAGAGCATGCGAAGGCTAGCGAGCAAAGCACACTTTCATTGCTCATCCTGCTGACATTCAAGTCGGAGGAACATATCCTCCCATTCAGAGGAAATGCCATGGTCCCTCCGACGATCACATCTGCCGCTAATACCTTTCAGCATGCGGTCCGACTTTTATCCCTCTACCAACATTGCATGTCATGATTTTTACATCTGATGATAAATTCAGGTCACTACAGAATGAGTACAGCTATTTATTTCTGTCTCATCTTTCGTGATCTGTCCAAGATGTGTGTTCTCATAACAGAACATGAATAAATATTAAAGACTCAGGAGTTTATTTTTAATTATGCACCCTAGCAAATAGAAAATAAGACATTCCCTAACTCAGATAGATGGTTGGTCTTTCCCATAAATGGAAGTGACAGGAAAATCACATCACCAAACTCAAGTAGTTTTCTTTGCAGGCAGGCACATGGTTCTACCATGCCAAGTTTTTTTGACTGTTTAACATACACCCTTTGACCATAAGGATGAAGTTTAAGAATGTATAAACTCATGATGAAAAATGTGGTTTATGACAAGGAAGCACATGTCAGTGACAAACCAAATCCCTCTCACCCGGGAATACTGAAAGAACCCAAACTCTAGACCTCTAAGCCTCCCAGATACCAACTTCTCTCTCATCAGGGACAAGAACTAAACCTCAGTATAAAACCCAGTATTTCCAACATTTCCTCCAGAGTTCCCGTGGGGACTTCCAAGAATGCGTCTTTTCTGTGCCTCTGTCTCCCAGATGTCCCCTCATTCTGCAGGCCGGGAGCACACCAGCCCATCACTTCAGGTGATAGCCACTCAGCAGCTCTGGGTGGCTTCCAGGGGTGAAGGGCTTCTCAGTCTCAGGAGTGTCCTTGGGGCTTCACGGTGAGGCTTCCAGGTATCAGCACACTCCCGAGTTGAGAAGTGTCTCAGTCAGAGAAGGAATGTTCCACGTTAAGCCAAATTCATATCTCCTAGGCTGTTGTCTCTCTAGCATGGAGGACAAGCACCCTTGTGACAGTGGGCACTGGGAGCTGAAGTAAAATGAGGGGAACAAACTTGGGGGAGCAGCCCATGACCCAGAGGGCAGCACAGTCCTTCAGTCACCCACATCCGGCGTCAGCCTGGAGTGGCTGCAGGGAGATCCAAGCCTCAGGGTCATCTCCCATAAGGAAGTTTAGGTTGTGGAGAATCAAATGCCCCCAGATTCCAGGGGATCCTCAGCTGTTTCTTCCTCTTGCTACGAGCCTTGGAATGAATTATGAGAAAGCTCCAGCTTTCCTTGCAGCTGTGAAGTGAATCAAACAAAGTGCCACCAAGTCGAAATGAATGTGTCCTGACATGCTGTTTTCTGGATAGGGACTGAAGAGGAACTTGAGAAAAGGCCAAAAAGAACTAGGGTGGAGGCAGCTTCCAGAACCCTCTCCCAGTCCTGAAGGGACCTGGCCTTTCAGAGAGCTGCCCAGCCCCGGTGGCAGCCATACCGTGATTCACGTGGTGAAGCTGTGTGGTGTTCACCTGTCTCTGAGCCAGAGAAGCAAAGGAGATAACGAAGCTCACATGTAATCACTTGTACCTATCTATTCACTGCCATCCAAGAGGGCAAGATGATCCCACCAACCATCAGTTTTCTGAAAGTCAGAGGAAGTGTCAGCAGATGAAGGAATTTAAGCCTTGGAGGCCATTTCTCCATGGCACGAACCCCCAGCTCCGTCCAGATGAGAAAGAGGAGAGAGAACAGCCCTTCACCCAGCACACCCTGTGGCCTCTGCTAACCACCAGCTGTCTGTGAAACCAACCTGGGCCTGCCAGGGAGGCCCCGCGCTGCACCAAGACCACCACAGCCCGCCTGCTGCAGGCCACATGGCAGGTTTTCCGAAGCACAGGCCTGAACAGCTGACTGTGCTGGAAGGAAAAAGCTTCCTTTCCATTTCCCAGCCTTCCCTCCTTTTCTTGGCTCTCTGGGCTTAGCTCCTTCTCTCACATTTTCTTCTCAACCAAAGTTTTGTCTCGTTCACCACCGAGGAGTTCACAAGAGCCGATGTGCTTTAGAATAAGTTCAGAGAATGCACTGGCTCAATGCTGTGCGGCTCATAGAAGCAGGATCAATTCCTGCTTCATCCCGGGCTGTGAGGAGAGCAAGGGTGCCTCTGGCTTCAAGGGGTTCACACTGAGAGCGGCGGGAAGCTCACGGTGGGAGAGCAGGCAGCCAGGGCACGTGGCCTTGTGGGACAAGAGCTTAAGCTGGGGTGGTGGCTTCCAGGTGACAGAGTAAGGGAAGGGGAGACAGCTTGACAACAGTTTGTGTCGGGTCTAAACTGCGCAGCCTGAATCTCAGGGGCCATTTCTGGAGGAGCCTCAGTAGTTCCCCAGCAAACAATAGTTTGGATTTGATGTGGGCCTCTTCAGTTGATATTGACCATGAGTTTCTTTGCATGCTTGTGGTGACAAGTTGCTTTCCCCTCTGCTCTATTCATTAGCCTAGTGGTTTTCTCCCTGCCCTGAGGACATTTCTCTGCAGACATGGATGGGTGCTGACAGTGAGCGCTGCTGCCGTTTTGTGGGTAGAGAGTGCAGGGACACTGCTTTGCATCCTGGAATGCATGGGACACCCTCCCCTTCTGCAGCAGAGAATTATCCAGCCCCAGTGTCAGCAGAGCCAGAGTGGAGAAGCTGGGTACCCCCGCCTGGGCATGCTCCTTCCTTCATGACTGTGTGTGGGGAAGGCCAGGGCTCCAGCCCCAGGCCCAGCAGTCACACAAGAGCGTCTTCTGCAGCTCACAGTGTCTCTGGGCCTCTGTCTTCCTACCTGCAGAATGACACAGAGGACCTCTTGCTTTTCTTCAGAAAGTGTCATGAAGAAGGGACGTGCGATGCCAGGGCTGAGTGCCATTTTCCTCCAGGCACAGGAGGAGGAGTGGGGTCAGATGGGTTTCAGTACTGGAGCCATGCATCAGCAGAGGCCTGGGAGTGGACTCTGTTTTGCTGATGAGCACATCCTGACGTTGCTCCAGTGCCTGAGGCTGGAGGGTTGAAAGGCAGAGCCGAGGGCTCCAGCCGCTCCAATGGGCGTCCTTTGCCACTGCTTTCCCCTTCTTTTGTGAATACCCCAGGACTCCATTTTTCCTCATGAAGTGTCATATTCATGTCCAGCGATCACTCACCCACATTTTAATTTCAATCTTTGATGTTATAATTTGATAACCAATGTAATCAGAGCACTCTCAGATGCAAGCCTTGTCCCCATTTTCCTCTACATGCTCACACTGTGACCTTGGTTACCATCACATCTGGGCCTCAGTTTACCCATCTGGGAGCCAGTGCTCTTTTCCTGGTTCAACAGAGTGAACCTACTGTCCTGTGCTTATGTTTCTGGCGAGCCGGGAGAAAGACGGCAGTCCTGCTGCAGCCTACACAGGACATTCATCACAGGTAAAGGAAGCTTAATATCTGAATGCTCCCCGGATGGCCAGATGTCAGCAGTCAGAAAGAATAAGAATCCGACATTTGAATTTCATGAATTAGGTCTTCTGATCAGTGTCTCCAGCGGGCACAGCCAAGGGGTCCCTGCAGCCTCTCTGTGAAGAGCATGTTTGCTGCAATATGCATCTCAGTGTAAATTAAAACCAGCACTGGTTTGTAAAAGGGTGAGTTATCAGACATTTGAAGACAAGCCCTTTGAGTTTTTATATCACTTGAAGAATATTTAGGAAGAAAATCTAGGAGTTGGGAATACAGACAGAGTGAGGTAAGCAGCAAAGGTGACACCTCAATGTACAGAGGGCAATGCTCTTTCTTCTCCCCTGGTTTAGGAGGTAGCTGCACAGAAAGACTTCACCTGCATCTATCAGGACTTCACCTGCATCTAACACCAGGAATTTACCTACATCTACCAAGACTTCACCTGCATCTACCAGGACTTCACCTGCATCTACCACCAGGACTTCACCTGCATCTACCATTAGGAATTGACCTACATCTACCAGGAATTCACCTGCATCTACCAGGACTCCACCTGCATCTACCAGGACTTCACCTGCATCTACCAGGACTTCACCTCCAACTACCAGGACTCCACCTGCATCTACCAGGACTTCACCTGCATCTACCATTAGGAATTGACCTACATCTACCAGGAATTCACCTGCATCTACCAGGACTCCACCTGCATCTACCAGGACTTCACCTCCATCTACCAGGACTCCACCTGCATCTACCAGGACTTCACCTGCATCTACCAGAACTTCACCTCCAACTACCAGGACTCCACCTGCATCTACCAGGACTTCACCTGCATCTACCATTAGGAATTGACCTACATCTACCAGGAATTCACCTGCATCTACCAGGACTCCACCTGCATCTACCAGGACTCCACCTGCATCTACCAGGACTTCACCTCCAACTACCAGGACTCCACCTGCATCTACCAGAACTTCTCCTGCATCTACCACCAGCATTTCAGCAGTATCTACCAGGACTTCACCTGCATCTACCAGGACTTCACCTGCATCTACCACCAGGACTTCAACTGCATCTACCAGGACTTCACCTACATCTACTGGCCTTCACCTGTATCTCCCAGGACTTCACCTGCATCTCCCGGGACTTCACCTGCATCTACTGGGACTTCACCT